CTCTTTCCCTCTCTCTCTCTTTCTCTCTCTCTCTGTCTTTTTTCTTTTTCTTTATGTTCATTCCTCCTCTATTCATAATAACTAGAAAGTTATAACTAACGTAGATGTCTCTCAATGGAAGACTGAATAAAGAAAATATATTACACTTATATTACACTTACACAATGGAGTATTACTCAGCTATTTAAAAAATAAAAATAAAAGCTCATAATATTTTCAGGTAAAGGACTGGAAAAAATCATCTTGATTGAAGTAGTCCAGACCCAGGAAGACAAATATAGTATGTATTTGCTTATGTGTGGATCTTGGATGTTAAGTCAATGTTAACCAAGTTACAATTCATAGAACCACAGAGGATAGGCATAGGATAAGGGACCAGGGAGGCAGATAGAGTTAGGAAATGGAAATGAAATAGTTAGTTACAGTTGATTGTAAATGGAAGGATAAAGATAAGACAGGAAGGGAAATAAGGGAGGAAAGAGACAACTAAAATTAATGACTGTTTTGAGGGGTATTATGAAACCTAATAGAGTAGAACTTTTTAAAAATATATACATTTATTGAACATACATGTATATGTATATACATATATACAAACACAAATAAAATGACCAAATATGGGACAGACAGAGCCCCAGTTGGAGAGTTCTTTTCACCAAATGAAGTTTCCTGTACTGGAATTGGGTTGCATCTAACAAGCTTGTTGGCCAAAGAAGTCCCATGGAATTCCCAAACAACTCAGGCTATTGCCAAGACTATAGTCTCTGCTTACCACAAATCCACAACAAGTCCCTTTGCTGAAGACAACAAGTACACAACTCATTGAACATGAAGAAATCAGGCCAGTACCTACATAGAGCTTTTACCCCTAAGTTCTAGTGTCTTTGATACAGGAAAGTACTTGCCAATCTACCAGAAGAGAAACATAAATACCAAGCCAGCTGCAAACCCTTCTTTGATTTACAGTGGTGTCCTACCTAGGCAATGGTGATACAGTGCTTGAGTAACCAAGCAATGTCTGATTTGAGTTAAGGCCCATGCCAGGAGATTGAACCCATCTATACCTGTCACTGCTTTATAACCAAAAAAACGCAAGAGTATATAGCTCAGAGACTTAGGGTAAAAACTAAATATTACTGTTCTAAAAACAGAAAAATGACATTCTACATTCTGCTATACTCACAGATCAATTCCTTGTTCAACCATCATTAGAGAAACATGGTAACAAATACAGAGACCCACAGCCAGACATTGTACAAAGAATAAGATACCTTAGGACACACAGCCTTAAATGGAATGTCTCCATCAAATCCCTTCCCTCAGGGTTTCAGGAACCCCCATGCAAGAGAAGGCAGAAAGAAGGTAAGAGTCAGAAGGGATGGAGAACACCAGGAGAACTAAGGTCCTCTAAATTAACTGAGCAAAGCTCACATGAACTCAAAAAGACTGAAGTAGCAAGCGTGGATACTATAGGGCTCTGCACCAGGTCCTCTGTGTACATATTATGACTTCCAGTTTGGTGAGTTTATGAGATGCCTGAGTGTGTAAACAAGAGAGTCTCTGTTTCTTGTGCCTTGTCTTGGGCTCTTTTCCTTCTGTTTGTTTTGCTCAGATCTGATCAATTAGTTTTTGCTTTATCTTTATCTTTTTTGTCTGTTTTATTTTATTATTATCCCCTAGAAGCCTGTTCTTTTCCAATGAGAGGTTAAAAATGTGAGTGAATCCAAATCAGAGGGGAGGGGAGGAGCTGGGAGAAGCAGAGTGAAGAGAAATTGTAAATGGGATGCTTTATGCAAGGGGAACAAATTCTATTTTCAATAAATTTCAAAAGAAAACAAGAAAGAAAAAGGGGAAAAAGGAAGAGGAAGAAAGATGATATGCAAGAATGCTTCTAGATGCTACAGTTTTAGCTGAAAAAAGAAAGAATACTATAAAAATTCAGAAAGAAAGAAACTGCACCTAAAATTAAGTGCTTTTCTCAGTGATAAATACTATTTTAACAAGTTACTTGATCACCTTGTGCCTCATTGTCCTTATCTATAAAGCTGAGACAGTAATAGTAACTCAGAATTTCCTGAAAAATACAGGTTAAGATGTGTGATGTCCTTATACAATTATATAATGGGTAATGTGGGTGCAAAAATATAACTATTGAGACACACAAAAAACAGAAACTCCAAGTCTTTAGCAATTGGACCCTGACTACTTGGAACCTGAACCAGTAGTTTGTGCTACTTCTGAGAACAGAAGAAAGAGGCTGGTTTGGAAGTGTGGGATGGGAACTCCTGAAAGGAGTCAGTCTGCTTCTCTTCCTTGACAACCAGTTCTGTGTTGGCTAGACACTGAAAATGTCACTTCTATGAGCAGCTCTGTCCTGGCCAGAGGACAGAAACACTAAAACTGTTTATAGGAACTGCTTCATGTTCTGATTTCTTGTCTTTAATCTTTATTCTCTTTTTACATAGGAACAAATGAGCCCAGCAGGCTAGGAGCTGCATATGATCAGATATTTTCCTAGCCCCTGAGAGTGCACCCAGAACTCCAGTCTAGACCAGACACCATGGTAGAGGTATCATGAAGACATTCTTTGTGGGACAACTGAACTGACCAGGTCACCCTGGCACATCTCAAACTGGTAAAACATTATTAACCCTTAAATACAACTGTTAGTGGTAAAAAACACAAATTAAATATTTGTCTTTTATGTCAAACATTGTAAAAGGTTTATTTTTTTATAATAACAAACTTAAATCTTTTTTATCTCCTCAACTTTGTAAACCCTTTTTGCAAATGTTTTAATTCCCATGTCTTGTTAAACTTATTTTCACAAAGTCCTTCCTGAATTCTCAGATTTTAAGTGTCTTAATTTTTCTTCTTCTTTTTTTTTGTGCTGATTCTTTTAAGACTAACCAATCACAGAATACTATAAGGTGAGACCTTAGCCAATAGGGGAACAACCACCTACATTAGCATAAAAAGCACTTTAACTTCCTTTCTGTGTGGTATTTGGTCTTCCGTCTCTGTGAGTAGCACAGACATGTAAGAAGTAAACCTTATTATTTCCTGTTGGGGTTTCTTTCTAAGAAACTCCAACTTTACTTCCAACAGTGACAGTACTTTCTCGGAACCCACCCTGTTATGCATGAGTTCCTCTTGCCCACTTTCTATATGTTCTCTCCTGTAATAAATTTTTTTTCTGAAACTCACCTAACTTGTCTGTGAAATGTATTCTGTCACCTTGGGAGATGAAGAATCCAGAAGCCATTGCCACAAGATGGCTTTAAGAGGACAAGAAATGCCTTAGATTCTAGTACACCCCACTCCTAATTATGCTCACTTGAGGCAAGAAGGTGTCTGTCTCAAGGACTTCCTGTCCCCTTCCAGTTCCAAATACCCTATACAAACAATTAGGTCCTAACCCCTACTTACACATGCAGCTGAGTCCTGAATGGAGACATTGACTAAGAAGATAGTGAGGTATCTACTTCTTACTTTCTCACAGAGGACCCCACACAAAAGACTTCTGAGGTAAGACTGAATAAGTTCTTAACTGTTATAATAAGTCCTCCATTTCTTCTCAGGAGGCAGTTCTCTTTGAGAATTCACCTTCTATATTCCTGTCTCTCAAGCAACACATATTGTTATTAAAATGCTTGTATTGATTCTGGCCTTCTAAGTACTTCCATCTGCATTCTGTTCCTGACACATCAATTACCAAATATTACTTGGTTGAGTGTTTCTGTGATTACAATCCAACTCTATCATTTTGAAAGTGGAGTGATAAAGAGTCAAGTATGTGCTTGGTGTTTTATCAGCTTAATCTTTAATAGTTTGGCAAGATATTTGGACAGGCATCCTCTCTACGTATACCCAACGGGCCTGTAATTGTTATGAAAAGCCAAGCATCAACTCAATCTAGTCAGACTATACATATACAAAATACTACAAAGTTTAAAACAAAATGTCAAAGACCACTTCCATAGATAACCTATAATGACACAAAGGTCATTTATATAAAAATTAATTGTTTTCTTCACAGTGCTAATAAAAACATAAAACCAAGCATTCCTCGCCCCAGGCAATGTTCCCACTCCTGATTGCACTGTACTGTGCTTTGCTCTTTTGCTTGATGTCTTCAAACAACTTCGCCTGATTTTCTGAAGGTTTTCCTTTAGGTTTTTCTAAGCCAGTGACAATTAAAATAAAAATGCCAAAGGAGTAAAAAGCAAAGAGGAAAAGCTACAAGAATAGGATTTGATTTTTTCCTACCCCCACCCTTTCCTTATTTCCATGCAACTAATCCCCTCTCACAGAGCACAATAGACCAGACAGACAGAAAGAAGGAGAGGTGAAGTTGGGGAGCTACTACATTGTTCTTGCTAATCTGAGCCATTTACTTGAGGGTTAGGAGGCTTGTTTTATCATTTAAACAGACTTAAAAGCCCTTTGCAAATGAGATTTAGTTCCTACAAAAGAATGAATTGGTGCTATTTGGTGCGTTGCCTCTAGCCCAGAACTGACTTGGCAGTAACCAAGCTGCTTCTTGGGCCACATGCAGTGTTGGCAAAGATTGCTTCCAGCTGCCAAAACTGGGAAGCCTCAAGCTGATTAAATTCTTACCAGGAGGTGAACAGGATGAGGCCAGGCTAAAGAGTCAATCATACCAGAATTTGAACTATACTTTAACAAACTCTTTTTTAAAAAGTATTTTAATGATGCCTCTGAATGTTCTTAAATTGCTGAATCGTCTCTGAAAAGAGAAATGAAGAGCAGGCCGGGAAGGAACCACAGAGACTAAAAGACTCAACACAGTCTCACGCTGTGAAGACCAAATCTAAACTCTTTGCTACATTGTTGGTCAAAGTAGCCTTGCCTAGAAGGGTAAACTGCAAAACTAACTCAATGTCAGAACAAAAGAAATTAGGAGGATTGTGTTCTTCCCAGAGTGCCCTCTTTGCATCAGAATCTTAGGTATACCACACACCAAGTATAAGTTTTACCTGGCACACCTTGAACAGATGTTCAGTGTGACTTTGGCCTGTGGCTCAGCAGGGTGAGAAGGACGACCTTGGTTAAATTTGCTCCCCGAAAGTACCAGAGTGGTTACACCCTCCATCCTTAAGTCATCCAGATCTTCTGCAACAACACAAACAGTGACAGAGAGAATTAACTTCTGTTGAATTCATCAAAGAACAATGTTTAAGGTACCATTTTTTATATTCTTTCAAAAAACCAACCAACAAAACAACAACCAAACCTCACATGTAAATTATATTTTCCAATTTTCTCTAATGTACTTGGGTCAACTACAACTATACAGCCTGGCACATCCACCTCACATACAGTTTGAGGGGCCTGTCCACTCAGATAAAGCCAGATTTTGCCTATACCTAAGAATCAGGATCAGTCAGTGTGAAACAACATTAGGCTTATCTCCTCCTCCTCTTCTTCCTCCTCCTCCTCCTCCTCCTCCTCCTCCTCCTCCCGCTCCTCCCCGCCACCCCCCCCCCGTAGCCCTGGGTGTCCTGGAACTCACTCTGTTGGCCAGGCTGACCTCCAACTCACAGAAATCTGCCTGTCTCCAACTCCTGAGTGCTGGGAATAAAGGCATGTGCCAACACCACCAGGCAACATTGGGTTTTTTTTTTAAATAGAGATACACAGTATAAGATTACTGGGCGCAGTTTGGACAGACAGCATGAGATCGACCGGGTTCCACAGGAGGGAGTTTATTTAGGGCGGGGGGGGGGGGAAAGAGAAGCGGGAAGTATGGCGGGAAGAAGAGAAGAGAAGAAGAGAAAGAGGTCGGGGCAGTCCTGACTATTTGAACGGATGATGACTTAACTTTTTCCCAGGTACAGGTGAAATAGTCAGGTGAATTGTGGGAGTATTATCTGGGTTGCCTCGGCAACAACGCAGAAGTTGCCTGGCACCTGAATGTGACTTCACTGAGTTCAGATTTACACTAACACACAGTTTAGATTTAAGTGTTGGCATCAGCAAGGACCACAAAGATTAGGTCCAAAGTAGATACCCAAAGTGGCTACATTAGGAGCAATGTCCTTAACAGAATGACCAGGTAAACAGAAGCCCAAGTTCAGCATCCCCCAGTTTTCTTCTGGGGTATGGGGCGGGGAGTTCTGTTCACTGAGTAAGAAAATCTTGTAATTTCTTGTAAGAAACTTTAATCCTTCAGGAATCTCCCTTAATCCACCCTTCAAAGGTCAACTAACTTGGCAAGTTCCCAGTAATTTTGAGCAGCCTCTATCTGCTCAAAGACCCCCACCACTTGCTTTTCTGACATTTTCCTACTTCCCCCCAGCTCCCATCCTGAGAGAGAGCCTTGGCAGGTTGATTACCAATATATTTTTGTTTCTATCCATGGAGTGGTCTAGTTCTGTGGTTTCACTGCATTTTCACTTACAACAAACATTCATAAGTGTCGTGGTAGCAACAGAAATGATTCTGTGGCTTTTGGAGTTATATTGTTGGAAAGATTTATTTTACAACCAGTTTGACAAATTAATCCAAGTTTAAAATGGACATAGCAGCAAAATGCTTTGTGAATACATAACTCTAGACCCTTAGATTAGTGCAGCCCTGCCTTCCCCCCTCCTCTCTCAGCTTCTCTCTTCCTCTACTACCCTCTTGACCCCTGTCCCATGCCTAGAATATACTCTATTCTATACTATACCAGTGTGTGGCTGGTCCCTCAGCGGGGGAGAGATGCCTTGGCATGGGCTGGCTGAGACATCCCCTTCCCCCATACCTCACCACACACCCACATCATTGCTGACCACCATCTACCTCGACCACACACTGTCTCCTGTCCACTGCCTGTCAACATTGGAGACCAAGTTCTTCTCTCCCCTCCAGATCATCAGCCTTCATCCCTCTCTCCCAAATGGCAGGGCCCTTTTAAGGTAATTCTTGTGACACCTATAGCTGCTAAACTCAAGGGACTCTCTCATTGGTCCACCTGTCTCATCTCAAGCCTTTCATCTCTCCACCTGAAATCGACTCTTCTTCATACACGTCAGTGCTAACAGGACCATGCTCTGTTAAGCTCCAGAGGATGTTGAGATCACCCCACTTGTCCCCAATCCCAGAAAATGAGACTCCACCCCAGCAGCTGAGCTTGTCCTCACTGGATTAAACATGAGTTTCTCATCCTCCCCCTGCTGCTTGTTTCCACCCAGGGTAGCCCTTACATCTGGGGATTTGAGGTTCAAGAAACCCCCACAGATAACAAACAGTCTTTCCAAACAGGGTCAGGAAACTAACTGTTCCATAGCCAGATGCCAAGAAGCAATCCAAATTGCTATCATCCCTGTATCTGTTATCCCATCTAAATATTATGTTCTCTATACTTGCTTTCTCTTTGACCAGATAAAAGATTATTGCAGAAACTGGCCAGATGATTATGGGGGCTGCCCATACTGGTCTTGTCAGAAACATATGCTAGGATCACAGACCAACCATTTCTTCTACCAACACCAAAAGACACTCTTTTCTAAATACAAGATCCATGGGATTCCAGCTGTGGTGCTTCAGAACCGATGGGGGCTAGATGTCCAGACAGCTAAAGAAGGTGGCCTCTGTTGGTTCCTCCAAGAAGAGTGCTGTTTTTAGGGAACGTGAGACCTCCAGTTCTGAGATTTTTAAAAACTCCATATGGAAGTAGATACTCCCTTTTGTAACACCCTTTCTTGTCATTCTCCTGGTGTTATTATTTCTAATCAAACTATTAATCAGTTCCTGTTACAGGATTACCAGCTGTTGTCTACAGAGGAACCTGTTGCACACATCTATCAAGTGGACCCTTATGGTGAAAACCAACTACAACCCAAAATGGACTATGCTCCTATATAGCAGGAAGTAGTTTAAGAGATGTGGCGCCCTGAATCCAGTTTCACCATGGGCTTCCCCTCCCCTTTTTTCTTCTCTTTATAAGAAAAAGGGCGGTATGTTGATATCAGGCTCCAAACCCAGTGACATCCCATCTACTGCATCCCCACATCATTGCCAAGGCAACTGCCATACATTCCCAGAATCCACTTTGTTACATCCCACCTTTACCTGCAAGAGACCACCCATAAAAATAGGCAGAGCCCCCTGACCTCTCCCTCTTCATCCTATTCTTCTTCCATCTTCTTGTCCCCACCTTTGCTCAATCTCCTGAATAAACCTCACTTGAAACTGTTTGGTCTGGTGTGGCCTGCCTTGAGCTGAGTGTGAACAACAACAATTAGCCCCTAAGCAGGCATTGGAAACACTATCTCCAACAAACATGAAAAAACTGAAAGTAATTGGACAAGGAAATATCTTTTTCAAAAAGGGCAAACTGGGCTAGCAAGCACATCAGGACAAGAAGTTCACTTCATTTTTTTTTCCAACACTGGTGGCTCAAGGCTGCTTTTTCCCTTCATTTGGAGACTGACCACACAGTCATTCCCAGCTGGTAATTTAAAAAAAAAAAACAGTGTAAGTTAAATAAAGGAAAGTGGGGTAGAAGGAGAAGAGAACAGTTGTTCCAGGCTAGAATGTTGGTGAGGGGAGCTTTTGGGTCACACCGTTTTACCAGGTGAGACAGATTAAAGATTTAAATTCCTTTGCATAAAACTTTACAAAGTGAGAAGATTTATGGAATGTTGGCCTTTGGTGGGCTACTAACCTTTGATGTTAGAAAGCATTTCTCACACAGGACGGCTTCGAGCATTACTGGAAACAAACCCAAGACACTTTTCCCAGGATCCATTGCAACTTTACTAGGGTCAGCATACAACTAGTCTCATTTGTCTATCCAGTACCTCTGTGACTGCTGTCACAGAGTCTAACTTACATGTGACTCATCTCACAGATCAATTGTTTATATACCCTGATTGCTAGAATTCTGTCTAAACTCCACCCCCACAGTTACTGCCAGGTATGTCCCACCCCACAGTTATCTGGCAACAGCTAGGTAGGCCTCACCTACTGTAAAGGGGGCTGCTTGCCCCCTCCTCCCTCTCTTGCTCCTTTCTTGCTTTCTTGGTTTCTTGCTTCCTTGCTCTTCCCTCTGCCCCCCCCCCCAATTCCTTTTCTCCCTCTCTCTCCATGTGCTCATGGCTGGCCTCCACCACCACCCCCAGTCTTTCTCTGTCTTTCTCTGCCTCTACTACACTCTTAACTCCCCTGAATAAATGTTTATCTAGTCTATACTATACTTTCATGTGGCTTGTCCCTGGTTGGGAAAGGATGCCTTGGCATGGGCCTGCTAAGACATCCCTTTCCCCCACACCTCACCATACCGACATAGAACATATTCTTCTCTCATTATCTTTTTATAAACACATCACTGATTCCCTGCAATGTAAAATCAACTTCCTCTCTACCTTCCTGTAAAGAGATCTTAAAAAAGAGTCTCTTTTTGTTTTTGTCTCTCAGGCCTGAAGTTCTCCCTTCAGTTTCACTGTGCCCAACAAAGTTAATGAACTTTCATCTAACAAGGATGATACATCTTTGCATGTCTTTCAAACCCATCCATCTCTCTACTATCTAATTTATGTGAGAATAAAATATTTAAGAGGTAAGTCTAGCTGTGTTGCCTCTGGAACACGTTCCCTCCCTTTGCATCTCCACCACAAGGATTTCCTGTCATACCAGGGCTCCTGCCCTTCTCCATTATCAGACATTTTTATTCTCTAGTGCCAATACCTTTGGTGATTCTCCCCAAGGTGTCTTGCCTTTTGGTGAGTCAGGTTTACCAGAGACTTTGCACAATGTCAATAAACCAAAAACCCTAGTGCTAGATCAGGTCTTGTGTTGGCCCAGACCTACTGAATCTTAAAAAGGTAAAAATTCACCTATGCTCAGTACTGTGGATTTGACCACACGTCCCAAAAGGGAACAAGGGAACATGATATTCACAAGGGTATTTTCTACTTCTTCTTCTTCTTCTTCTTCTTCTTCTTCTTCTTCTTCTTCTTCTTCTTCTTCTCCTCCTCCTCCTCCTCTTCCTCCTCCTCCTCCTCCTTTTCTTCTTTTTTCAGACCTACTTCAGTAAACCATCCAATATCACTCACATAAAGATTCTAACTTTAGTTGTTTTACAAATTTAATTTCTTTATCCTGGGCATTATATTAAGCATAAGTAA